CTTTTATAAACTCAGTTTGGTATTTGTTAAATATTTTTAAATAATGTTAGAAATCCTATATAACAGTATTTATTTATATTGCAGATTTTAAGTATAAATACATTTTTATTTTTAAATTTTGTCTTTTCCCATTTTTTTTTTTCAGATCAACAACGCCTCCCCGTCGTAAACGCTGAGGAATGATGTGGCAAGAGCCATGACGCTGTTTTAAAAATTCCATGAGTTTTAAGGGCTTGTCTCATTATAGAGGCACATTGTGGCTGTGTAGGTGAAACCAGATTTTTTTTTTAATTGTGTAAATAGGTGTCTTTTTCCAAATGCTGCTCCAAGTTAATAGGATTTCTTTGTATTACATTTTTTTCAAGAAATAGTACATAATAAGACTATAAATATGCCATTCTCTTTCAGCTGTATTGTTCTTAAAATTATTCTTGAATGTACTGTGATGTCAATAAAGCTCTTCAGTTCATTTTTGTTAAACTCTTGCACATTACTTTTATGATTTTAACCTAAGGAACGTACTTTTATAAAAAGGCAGCTGAAGTTTTGTACAACAGGTTTTAAAAGTTCCTCACATCTTCCCCAAAGAAAATGGTTTTAACCTAATAGTTTGTCAGAGTTTGTAAATTATACCCATGGACTTTTGTCAAATTCCAGTTTTAAGGCTGTGGGAAAGGGCCAGAAAACAACCTTACTTTTCATTTGAAGGCATCTGATCAGCTTTCTAAACAATGTTTTTTGGGGGCAGGGCTCAAGTAATATATTCTCTATGTGTCTAAAATGTGATTCACTCCTGTAAAATGAAATTGCTGAAAACAATCAGGCCGTTGCACCAGTAGAGTTCTTTGTGATGAATATTTGACACCAATAGTCAAGTTTGGAACTATATAGTCACTTCTGTTTTACATGCATAACACCTTGGGGTTACCATAGAAATAGGACTTAGGATTCACTATATCTATATTTTTGGATTGTAATATGGCCTCAGCTTAATGGAGGAATACTGTATCATGCAGGATTGTGTTGATTGCATAGCATTAAAATGGTCTGATTTTTGTCAGTTTCCAAAAATTAGGACCCATGAGTGGTCTGTGTGAGTCACGGCTTCATGAGTAGTGGGCATTCTGACAGGCACTCAGCTGCCTTGGGGTTTGAGTTTTTAAGACAATACACTTACGCAGTGATAGACGGATCTCTGGAAACAGTGCTTTTAAATTCCCACTGAAAAAGAGAAGTGCAAGTGCAGAATGCAGAGAAGGTTTAAAGTATTAATGCTTTCTTACCAGCAATAGTTCATTTTAAAAATAATGCCAGAATTTTGCCAAGATCAGTGTTTCCTCAAAATGGAGACAGATTTGTTTGTGTGCGCTTGTACCTCGACATAGCATCTTAATTTTGAGCAGTTATGCATTTATCTAAAGGGAATAAATCTGTGAATAAATGCATGTTTACCAAAATGGCTGTTTACAGTGCATTAAGTTCCAATATTTATAGTTGCCATTTCACAGAATAGTTTGGAGTTTTATATAGTTTACTCATCAGTAACACCTGGAGACAAAATGTGCAATATTTTTTATGTAGGTAAGCTAACACAGTGTACCTAATTGAAGAATTCTGATTAATTTGTAACAGATAAGTTGTATAAAATTTTCATACCTTAAAGTGTTTTAGATCAATCTTCAAGTGAAATATTATTTTCAAAATAAAATTCTACTGAAAAATTTTGCTGGCTACGATACATACATTTTTAGACATACAAATGAGAGCCAAAAGGAATTTGCCAGTTTTATTTAATAATTTGCATGCTTTTTATCATTAAATATGTAATTTTAAAAACCAACCAAGTATTCATGATTTTTAGTAGGTACACCTGTTGTATTTGTCAGATTTTTGTGGAAAATTCATTGTTTCTTTTACATGTGACATAGTGTTTATCTGAGTGGGAAAATAATTGTAGAATAGAGCTTGCATAATTGAAGATGTGAATGCTAAGTCACACATGAAAGCTAATTAGATAGAACTTTGTATGGATCCTTTAAAAAATGACACTTTCAAAAAATGAATACCTTCAACTTTTGAGACATTGAGTTGTTTTTAAGAGATTCTCTTTTGAAAGGCTGGAGAGGTGGCTCAGTGGTTAAGCACTTGCTGCAGCTATTAAAGAGGACCCAGCTGTGCTTTCCAGCACCCATCCTAGGCCGTTCACAGTCTGCTGCAAGTCTAGGCCCGGGGGTAAGACACCTTCTCTAGCCCATACATGGCGCGCACGCGCGCACACACACACACACACACATAGCATAGATTAGGAAGAGAGGTGGATTGATTCTCTTCAGGGCTATGGTGAGTTGCCTCAGCAGGTAAAGTTACTTGTCACAAATCTTGGTGACCTGAGTTTAATGCTCAGAACCTAGTGATAGAAAGAGACCCAACTCTGAAAAGCTGTTCTATCAACCTATCAACCCTTGTTCATACCTTTAAGTGTTTTAGATCAATCTTCAAGTCAAATACTGTTTTCACTTTAATAATAATACTGTTCTGAGTATTAATATTGTTAAAACTGAAATAATACTGTTCTTTAACCCTCCCACACTTGCATTGTGTGTACCTGCACATACACAGTAAATTTGTTGGGGGGGGGGATCCTAATAGATTCTCTCTGGTGTAGGAATCAGTGTTTTTGTGGAATACCCCATGAAAGTAATATAATTTGGAAAAGAAAATTAGATTTGTTGCAGGCCCCACATAAATATTGACATTTTCATTAATGTGTATGTCTTCTGCCTTTGTAGACTATCTTGTTGATTGATTTTTCTTTTCTTTTTTTTTTTTTTTTTTTTTTTTGGTTTTTCAAGGAAGGGTTTCTCAGTGTTTCTCAGGCTGTCTTACCAGGCTGGCCTCAAACTCGGAGATCCACCTGCCTCTACCTCCCGAGTGCTAAGATTAAAGGCATGTGCTACTAACTGCCCAGCTTAAGAGAATACTTACACACACACACACACACACACACACACACACACACACACACACACAC